ACGTTTAAAGTGTCCCGCGCGCTCATATGACATTATACAGTTGCGAGCGCCGTAAAACACTTACCAACAAAGGAGTGAACCTGGTTTAGAAAAACAACAACAAACAAACAAACAGAAAATACCCATCAAAAACAAACAAAAAACAAACTCTCCAGTTAACCTTGCCAGCCTCAGACAGGTGTATCTTTTCACAATTTCTTATCTTTATTGTGACTGAAAGCGTACGTCGTGGTTATTAAAGCAGCGCACTAATTTGCTTTTTTACCTGCCACATAGATTAAACTTTTACTTTGGCCTTGGGCTCTAAGAAGCAGGGTGTTTGTGCAAACCTTTGACCACCCCACCCCAGCCTCACCTACCCTGTTCCGATTATTCATGCGGCGGGTTGCGATGTCCATGCCTGTCGGAGTCGGAGCCAATCTTGGATGAGTGGGATACGGTTCGCCACAAGAGAGACGCAGATACCTCATGAAATAACATACCAACACATGAACGAGCATATTATTCTGCTTTCAAGGACGAAGAGCCTTACTTACAAGAGAGCTGGCCTAACCGTTGTACCACAGTCGCCACAATAATATAGAGGCAAAATGTATCGTTTTCTTGTTCTGCGAAATCATTTGGGGACAAATGTAGTGTCTTATTAGCTGAGGGTAAAAGTAAACTTGAGCACTCTATTTGGAACTTATTTGACCTACTGCTGACAGCCAGGATCTCCACTTTCAATGGAAGGGCTCTCGTAGTATAGAGGTTACGATGTTCGCCTCCCATTCAATAGGTCTCGAGTTCGAATCCGGACAGCGACTGAAAACTTTTTTCTCTAAAATTCTTTCCTTTCACCTCCTTTCCTGCTCTCTAAAATGTTTTGTCGTCTGCTTTCGTCTCTATTTTCTGCTCCCTCACAGTCACTTCCTTTGCCCCCTCCTCTGGGCTCTTGAAGCTTTCTACAGTCTTAGTACTGCTACTCCTTGGCTTCTTCTTACTGCTGTCTTTCAACAACATCCCTGATCTTATGGTAGGTAAGATCGAACACCTAGCCTTCTCAGATAAGGCCGAAAATATCGGAGGTCCCGTGTGCAAGTTGCGGACGCTAAAGATCTATTGGTGCCCTAATATCGAAGAAGAAGAAGAAGAAGAAGAAGAAGAAGAAGAAGAAGAAGAAGAAGAAGA